CACACACACACACACAAGATAGAAGAAAATATTTCCAAGGGATCACGGGCTCGACGCCTCCCTCACATACGCCCCCGCCTCCGCCATCGCCCGCAGCTCCTCATTCGCCTCTCCCTCGCTCATCCCCACGTGCGCGTGCAGGACGGCCGCCAGCGCCGCGTGCACCTCCCTGGCCATCCCCAAGCCCTCGCCGCACACGCACACGCGCGCGCCGCGCCGCACGATCAGGTCGGCCAGCGCGGCGCCGTCCTGCCTCACGAGGTGCTGCACGTACGCCCTCTTGTCCCCCTCGCGGCTGCAGGCGACGCGCAGCCGCGTCAGGTCGCCGCTCGCCTCGAAGGCATCGAAGTCCGCGCCATATAAGAAGTCCTCGTCGCGCCGCCGGCAGCCGGCGTACAGCCACGCCTCGCCGACGGCCGGCGCGGCTGCGGCGGCCGCGGTCCCGGCGGCGGCGGCCGCCCTGGCGGCGGCCCGCTCCTGCAGGAACGCGCGGAACGGCGTGGTGCCGGTGCCCGAGCCGATCATGATCAGGGGCGTCGCCAGCTGCGGCGGCGGCGCAAACGTCTGAGACGGCCGCAGCAGAATCGGCATCCACGCATCGGCGTCCGCTGTGCCCTCACCGGCCAGCCGCGGCGCGAGCAGCCGCTGCAGCCAGCCCGTCGCGACGCCGGCGCAGCGGCCTGAGGGCGCCTGGAATGAGACCGCGCGGAATGCAAACTGAAGGCGCGCGGCGCTGGCGCCGGCGCCGGCGGCGGGCGCGGCGCTGATAGCGTAGGCGCGGGGCGCGAGGGGCGGCAGGGCGTCCAGCAGCGCCGCCAGCGGCGGCGCGCAGCTCGCAAATCTGAAAGCAGAAATGAAGGGTGCGGGGCAGCGAGTGTGGTCAGGGGCGCATCAATGACGGGGGTGCAAACATCAGCTAGGATGCAGACACCTCTGTGCAGGCCCTGCTGCATGTTATGTAATTTCTGTGATTTCGAAGCGGACTTCAAATGAGCAATTCAATCTGCCTCCCACGCAGCTTCTTGCAGCACATACAGCGAGGCGGCTTGAAACACGCAACAATCCCCCCCACAATCGCACCTGTTCAACAGATCCAGCAGGCAGGGGTGGCCGGCCACAATCTCCCGCGTGTAGTCAGCGGCACCCGCCTTGGCGCACAGGAAAAGCAGCGTCCTGGAGGCGGCAAATTTTGCGGAAAGTTTCAGTGTGTCGGAGCGAGAAGGGGAGAAAATGGCACAGCCGCCGCCTGGCGATCCCGGACGATGATGTCATCACAAGCGCTTGCCATGGCGTGTTCCGCAGGGCGGCGCCTGCGCGTGGCGAGCGAGGGGCGGCGCGCACCTCTTCTCGGCCTCGTTGCGGCAGTGCTCTGCCAGCAGCCGCAGCAGGCCCTTCTGGGGCTTTCCCGCGATGTCCACGTTGTGCGTGAGCGCGTGGCGCAGGGAGCAGGGCGACACAATGTGCGGCAGCAGCGTGGCGCCGGGGGCTGGCCGGCCTGGAGGACATCCAGGTGGGGGGCACATTTGGGGTGTCAGCAGGCGAGTGCCGTTTTTATTTGCAATGGTGCTCCAGGAATCGTCCCCACAAGTCTGAATGCAAGCGTATTCAGAGCCAGATTCCACCCTGTAAGATGGAAAAAATCTGCAGCACATCACTCATATGGGAGCACTCCAGCTGTACACCTGGCCACACCTGCCGCCTTGATCTCAAACACGCGCTCCCCATCCAGCCCCAGGCGCTGCAGCAGCGCCGCGACCATTTCAGGGTCGTTCTGAGCGGCGGTTGGTGGCGGTTGGGAGGCAGCAGCATTGGCATAAGTCAGGCCGAGCTGCATGGATTGAGGCCAGGATGTTGCAGGAGTGCAGTGGCAGTATGCCATCATTAGGGCAACCTCACGCGCGCGTGTTCCCCTGAGGCTGAATTTGCCCTCAGCCGCGCGTGAGAAGGGGCTGCGCACGAGAGGGGGGCAACGCAGTTGCGGGAGGCCGGCACACCTGCGGCAGCACAGCAAGTGCGTCGCCGGCCTTGTGTGTGATGCCGCTGCCTGCGATGTCCAGCTCGCAGTGGACGACCACACGGTCAGAGCCGGGGGCCGTGAGCAGCCTGGGCGTGCAGGCACAGTGAGTGAGTGGGGGTCGGGAGGAGGAAGGACACGAGCAGGCTGTGTGGATTTAAGGGGTTGAGTGAATACAAAGGGTTATGTGAGGTGTGTGTGGAGGCGGAATAGTAGGAAAAGGTCCGGGCAGCTTGGATTTCAAAGAACATGTGCGCATCACTGTGTGATTTGGCAGGACGACAAGACAAGCAGGCTTTGATAAGGAAACGCGAGGGGGCGGCGCGCTGCCCTTGAGCAGATTCGGGGTGGCAACAAGGCTGCGCGCGGCCGTGTTCATCGTCTGCTTGCAATGCTTCGCTGCCGGACCTCTTTGAACTTGACCGGCTGTGCGAAATCGCCCACCTTGCCTCTGCGACGCGCGCATAAAAAGGTGCGGCTGCGCTGTACGCGCCAGTCGGCTTGCGGAATTTGCGCTGCTCCTCGCTGGGCCAGGACAGTTCGCGCGCCCGCACATCCTCGGACACCTATACATGGGTCGGGTGAGGTCCAACAGGTTACAGGATCAGAAAGATCACCAAGGGAGAAAAACCACAGGCTCAACCCACGCCGGTGGGCTGGCTTAACGCTAAGTTGCCGCGGGTGTAGGCATGACGAGGCGTCTCCTCAGGGCGGTGCAGCCACCCGCGGCGAGGACGGCCCTTGCCCTTGACCCACCGCTGGTGCCACGTCGAAGGACACCTCCACCCGCGGCGGCGCCAGCCCTGGGGCGCCCTTCAGGTCGGCCCCCTCTGGCGCCAGGCCGCCAACCAGCCCGCCGGGCTCCCGCGGCGCCGCCTGCACCGGCTGGCCTGCCTGCGGCTGCGCCTGCTGCGGGCCCTCCTCCTGCGGCGCCTGATCATCCCCCTCCTGCTGCGACCGCTCCTCCTCCTGCTCCTCGTCCCGCTGCTGCTGCTCCTCCTCCTGCTGCTGCTGCTGCTGCTGCTGCTGCTCCTCCTCCTGCTGCTGCTCCTCCGTATCCTCTGCAGACAACTCCTGCTGTGGCTTCGCATCTGATCGAGCCTCCTGTGCCTGCTGCCGTTCCTCCTCCAAAGGCTGGCCCTGTGGTGCCCCCTCCTCTGCCGCCTCCCTTTCCGAACCCCGCAGCTGCACCCCGGCCACCGTTGGTGCAAGATGCGACAGGTGCTGCTGCTGCTGCGGCCCCGAACCTGGCCGCGAGCCGCTGCCACCGCCCTCCGCCCGGCTGGGTGGCTCGAGCTCTCCCAGGTCCGCTGAGTCACCGAGTGACATCATCGAGATTTCCAGGTACACTTTGGGCACCGCGGCCACAGCCGCAGCTGCCTGCGCTGCCGATCCCTTGCTGGCCTCTGCAGCCAGGCGCGGCGCCGCCGCCAACGGCGCGTGCGCCGCTGCCAGGGCAGGGCCGCCCTCCGCCGCGAGCGTGCCAGCAAGCGCGTGCGCAGCAACGGCGGCGCCGCCTCCGCCGGGGCCGCCAGAAGCGTCGAGGAGGGCGGTCTTGAGGGGCGCCCATAGGTTCTCGCACCAGGGCTCCACCTGTAGGGTCGGGAGTGTATTTAGCCAAAGGACTTGAAGGATGCCCGCACACTGACATCTGATTCAATATCAAGGGTGGGCAGGAGCTCCTGCCCACCGATGGTTGTGATCCATCTGAAAGAAAAGCTTGAGTGCGCTTCCACTGGCATCGCTGCCATGCATCCACCAAGCAGCCCACAATGCACCCGACCCTTCCTTCCAGCGGCCCTTGCAAGCCCCAGCCCGGCCTCCGTGCCCACAACACGCAGCCCATGACACGCCAAGTCTGCCTGCCCCAAGACCCCGCACCACCCGCCTTCCACCCCCGCGGCAACGCACGATCCAGCGCCGACCATCCTACCCCTCACCGACCCCTTGATGCCCACTACATGCTCAGTCTATTCACCCCCACACCCTCCACCGCACCCCCCCACACCCACACCCACACGCACCGTCTTGTCCATGCCCTCCGAGTCATCCGCCTCCCCCGCCGCGTAAAACTCCTCCGCCCCGAGCTCTACCAGCCGCGCCCTCATCGCCCGCGGCGCCGCCATGAACCTCGAGTAACTCGAGTCCCCCAGCCCCAGCAGCGCGAATTTGACGCCCTCGAGCCGCCACCCCTTGGCCTGCGCCGGCGCGAGCAGCTGCTTGAAGAACGCCGCACCGTTGTCGGGCGGCTCGCCGTCGCCGGTGGATGACGTCACTATGACGGCGACGGGCGTCTTGGACGCGCCGAAGGAGGGGAAGCCGAGCTCGTCGAGGGCCATCACATCTGCAGGCACGCCGCGGCGCCCGGCCTCGGTTTGGAGTGTGCGCGCAATCTCCCTGCCGTTGCCGGTCTGGCTGGCGTACAAGAAGACGGCCCGCGGCTGCGGCCGCGCGGCGGTGTTGTGGGGCGTGACGGAGACGGACCAGGCGGGGGCCGTCGGGGGCGGCAGCGTCGCGGTCGCGGCGGCAGGGGCTGCCTCTGGCAGGGTGTGTGTGTCGCCGGCGGCCGCGGAGCTGGAGCGGCGCGAGGCCTGCGGCGGGGACGCTGCGGCGCCAGCCGCTTGCTGCTGCTTCTGCTCCTGCTGCTGCTGCTGCTGCTCAGCGCTGCCTCCCTCTGTGCCGGCTGCCGCGGCCATTGGAGCAGCAGGCTCTGCGAACTCTGAGTGCAGCAGCTTCAGGGCTTCATTTAGGGCATGCTGCCGATCCTTTGCGCCGCTGTCCGTCCGCCGCGCCGCACGCGCCGCCGTGGCGCGCTCTGCCGCCGCGAAATGCTCGGCCGCTGCTTCTGCCGTCGTCCGCCTGTCGCCGGCCACTTGCTGCAGTGCTGGGGCTGCGACCTGCGCGGCCGCTGCGCCCTTGCCGGCCGCACGGCCGGCGGCACCGACCGTCATCGTGACAGTCGATTTAGTGGGATCTTCGTAGTAATCGTCGTCGTCCGACGACTCAAAATCTGGCGGCGCTGCGGCTGCGGCTGCGGCCGCGCGCTGCTGCGCCGCCGGCGCGCCGCCGGCTCGCGACACGTCGCCAAGCGGGCGAGTGCCGGCGCGCGACATGCCGCTCTTCCGAGGCGGTGCCAGGTCCACGTCAGGGTCCTATTTTGGGCGACAGTAGAGCAGCGAGATGGTGGGGTGACTGAGTGCTTGCAGCCTTGCGGGTCAATTGCGCAAGCATGTCGGTCAAGCGCAACGCGGCATGAGGTGGCCCCCGCCAAAGCCACCCGATCTGAAAGGTCAAGCTCTAGCAGCTCTGATCATGAGTTTGCTCACATCTAGTCGAACATTGCAGCAAATCCAGTAGAACGCGGTGTTGCACGACATGTTGAAGGTCGTCCAGCCCACTCAAACGGCGTGATCGTATGTTGCAGCCATCATGTTGCATAAATAAAAACAACAAAATAAGAGGGAGCACCAGTGCCACCAGCCTTTGATCAAGACCCTGCCGCGGTGCTCAGCATCACAGGTAGGTGGCGCCTGGCGCATTCCTTGTGCACCCCACCATGAAGCATTTGCACAAGCACGTACGCACGCAGGCCTGCCTACGCAACCGAACTTCTAATGCTGCAGAATAGCCGTACATACACGCAATGTGAACAGTTGAGGCGCGAGGGGTTACCCATGGGCCTGCTGGTCAACTCCATGATTGCATGGGCAAAGCGAAATCCTGAGCCTTGTGCAGTGCGCTAGAAGATGAATGCCTAATGGTATTCCCCAAGCTCCCCGGGTGTTGCCGCTGGCACACCACCAGCGTCGCTGCCTGCAGTACTTGTCAACACGAACAAAACCCCCTGCTGCATAGCTCCCCTCGCCGCCTAAAACGGCTTGGCGTCCGCCGAGCGCCGCAGCGAGGCCCAGGACTGCCGCCCCACCATCAGCGGCGACGTAATGCTGCTGCGCAGCCCCGCTTCCTCCTGCGCCGCCCCGCTCCCGTTGCTCGCGTGGCTGAAGCTTTTGCTCACGTTCCCATCCGCCCCCGCCCATCCGTGCGGCGCCGCCTGCGACGGCGGCGCCGCGGGCGCCGTCACGCCCGTGGCGGCGGCGGCGGCGGCGGCATGTGGATGAGGCTGCGCGCGGCCTGCGCGCGCCGCAAGGCGGCAGCTGAGCGCGCCGCGCGCCGCCGACAGCGGGCCGGATGCGGCCGAGTGCGCGGGGCTTGGCGGCTGGGCGTCGACAAACCCGTGATCGTGGTCCCCGCTGCTGCCCGTGTAGCGGTCGAGCTCCGCGCCGCCGCCGGGAATCTGGTGGTGCCACGGGTCGTGCGCGGGGCCGCCGCGGCTGTCATCACCAAAGGAGGGGCAGGCGTCCTGGAAGCAGGCCGCGTCGTCGCAGGTGACCAGCGCCAACCCCACCTCCACGCGCCCGTCCGCGCCGCTCTCATCGGACGCGGATGGCGTCGGCTGGGCTCGCTGCTGCCGCTGCGCATTGAGCTGCGGCCGCCGCTGCTGCTGCTGGGCGCACCACGCCTCCAAGGGGCTGCCCTCAGCGCATGCCAGGGGCTCCTCCGCCACAACCCCGTCGCGCCGAGTTTGGGCCGGTACCACTGGCGTCTCCAGCGGGCGCTGCTGCGGCCGCTGTCCGGTGGTCGCCGGCTGCTGCGCCGCATCCTGCGGGACCTCCGGGGGTGCCTGCCGCGCGTCGGAGGCGATCCCCTCTCTGGGCCGCTCCTCCATCGCCTCCAGGCGCTGCACCCACTCGCTGGCAAAACCTTTGAGTCGCGTGGACATCTCCACAATCTGCTGGTGCAGCCGCCCCTGGCCGCCGCGGCCCCCGACGCTGGTCGCGTCCTCCGCCGCCTCGTCACACGGCAGCGGCCGCTGCGGCGTCGCAAACTCGGCCGCGTGCGCCCCCGCGCCGCCGCCGCCGAGCCGGGAACGCTGATCGCGGCCCGCGGGGGGCGTGCGCGCCGAGTCGTCTGCGGCCGCGAGTGGGCGGTCCAGGCCGAGGCCCTTGGTGCTGTAGACGCTCCAATTTCCTGGGCTGGCGGCCGGGAAGGGCAGCTGGGTGCCGCCGCCCTCGGCGTCCAGCGAGGCCGTTGCGGGGTCGCGGCTGTTGGACAGGTACATGCAGAGGCTGTCGCCCATGTCTTGGGCGGCCTGTTGCAGGTGGCATCGGTTCGACGCGGCGGGAGTGTAGCACGTATGACTGGGTGCTGAGTGCAACATCACCAACCGGGCCTCGCGTGTCTGCAGCAGCTTCAGGGCAGCCCGTGTTTGACTGCCGTTTGAACCCGTTGCGACACCCACATGGTCGACCTGCGCATAATGCAATGCATCCCACGCGCCTGAGCAGCCGCCAAGACCTCCCTCTCCAGGAGCGCGTTGCGCAGCCGCTCCGCCGCCAGCGCCTGCTCGGCGGTGGCGCGCGCCTGCTGCTCCTTCTCCAGCATGCGCCGCAGCCACGCGGCCTCCTCCGCGGCGCGCGGGCTGCCGTCGCGCGCCATGACTGCGGGCTCGCCAAAGCACTGGTGAGCACGACATTGGGGGGTGGGAAGGCGGGCCGGACGATGCAGTCACAAGGCGCCAGGATTGTAGCAAGTTGACGGCACCAGAGCACAGCAGCGTGCACAGCGCGGCGACAGTGCTGAGTGACGCGGCCCACCCTTGCCAGGGGATCCAGTCACTCCACTTGTGCATTTAGTGCGCTCACCGCAAACATCTCGGTAGATATGAGCACTTGTGGGAGGGGGCCTGCACCTCAAAAGCAAGCCTGCAGCCAACCTCCTGAAGGTGGCAGGCGAGCTGTGGTCGGAGGGAGACCAATCAAGTTACTTAGACGCCACCACCTTGCAGATAGCGCTGCTTGGGGGCCGCTCGGGCGTGGGAGGCAGTTTGAACTACCAGATCGCCGCAGATGGCCAGACGCGTGGATCCGCGCCGCATGCATTCACCAAGGCGACAGACATTGGCCAGACGCACGCACGCGAACAGATAGGGCATGGGAAAAAGACAGCCTCATGCAGTGAGAAGCTGCCCACTCCAGCACAGGTGAAACTGCAACGGTGCCGGTGCAGTTCATTTATGATTGTAGCAGTACTGGAGAAAATTATATCGATATGATCGTCGGGAGCTGCGGTCAGACAATGAAACTCTGACCACGCGCCATTTGGCTGCTGGGACTCGAGTTCGGGACAGCCAGACACATACATAGGGTAATAATACTATTAAAAACGTTACACATGGTATTGAGCAGGATGGAGGGCCCTCTTGTCCGAGTAGCCTTCCTAGCGCTCTCGGTGCTCGTCCAGGGCGTGGTGTCCGCACCAGTGGAGGTTTGCAAGTCTGCAAAGTACAAGGTAAGAGCGATTGACCGATCGCCAGGCCCCTGACACCACCTCACGCGGCCGTTTCCTTGCGAGCACACTGGCGTCGCTGCACTGCTGCTGCCAATCATGCAGCGCCAGTCAAGCCTGCGGTGCGCCCCCTCGTGCCCACATCGACGTTTCAGGTGCTGCTGAGCAAGGCAGCCAGTATTTTCAAGCCTTGGGAATGGACCCAGGACGACATTATGGCCTATGTCAAGGCAGATGCGCTCAAGCCCGGGCTGCCAGTAGTGGTGCTGCTGGTCTTGTGCATCCTCACGCTGCTGCTGCTGGTGCTCTGGTGAGCAGTGGCGGGCGCATGACAAACAGAATGAATTGCTAAGCAGGATGCCACCATACAACCAGGGGTGCCGCGCCTGTGGCAGGCGTGTAGCCAGATACAGGCTATGCGTGCCAAGCACTCCTGTGTTACGAGCGTGCTGCCAAGGTTCTGCCCCACCCCATGTCGACATCACCCTCGCCCCCCCCCCAAATCAGGCGCTGTGTGCGCTGCTGCTGCGTTGTATGCTGTCAACAAGAGGCATACGGGGAGGCAGACAAGGTCCTATGGGGACGGAAGCTGCGCGTCTGGAAGGTGGGCGGACGCCTCATGCGCCTGCGACGCAATGATAACACAGCCAGCTGCTGCCCACACTGGTGCAAGTAATGCTGGCCACAGCTGTCACTGCTGACTCATGATGACAAACAGCAGCTCACAACGCGTGCGCGCCCGCAACCACACGCCACTCAGGGACTGCTGGTGTTTTTTGGGGTGGCATGCCTGGCAATCGGCGCGTGGGGGATGTACAGCGTCCCGCGCGACCTGGCAGGCCAGGCGTGGGCGGTGGTGGATGATGTCAAGGTGAGTCATGCTTCCAGATGCTGATTCAACCACATAATCATCAGCCTGGGCCCTACAAAGCGAAAGCCAAGGATTCAAGCTACAGGGATGTTTCCTTGCACCGCCTTTTACCGTCTGCTGGTGTCCCCCTCGAAACAACTGGGACTTAGCACCTGGCCCCCTCTGGGTCCCCCGCAGGCCTTTGCCGGCGGTGTCGCCGACGGCATCGACGGCGTTTCTCGCCTCGCCGGCAACATGACCGTGCCCCTCGACCAGCTCTCGGCCGTAATCGCCGAGGACGTCGACCCCACCGGCCTCCGCGCCAACGTGTCCAAGGTTGGCTACTTCCTCGACAACGCCCCCGCGCCGTCAGAGTTCAAGGCGGCGATCACAAACCTCGGGGCCGCGCTCAGGCCCGGGCTCACCGGCGCGCTGGCGGCGCTGGCCGGCCTGCTGTCTGGGGCGTCGAGCCCGCTGACGGACCTGAGCGCGCGGCTGGCCGCGGTTTCGGCGCTGACGACCGGCGGGCAGCTGGCGGCGATGGACGCCGCGCTCGACGCGTACTCGAGTGCGGTTGCTGACGCCCTGTCGAACCCGTGAGCGAGGGGCCGTGAGCTGCATACAGCAGATACTGCAGATAAGACCCGAGTCGATCCGCCCTGCTGCGCGGGAGGCGGTCCAATCACAGGCATGCGCAGCGGCCGCTTTGAATAGCTGAGCTGATGTTTGCATCGTGCACCAGATTTCATATGCCCAAATTAACCTCCGCTGTCTTGCCCGCAGGCCGCCCGGCGCGTACGTGGCGCCGGGCACGCCGGAGGTCCAGGCGCTCATCGCCGCGCAGGCCGGCGTCGACGCGCCGACCTGGGTCTCCCAAATCGACGCCGCGGCCGCAGCCGTGGAGGCGATCCAGGCGATGCAGAGCAACGCGTCCGCGAACCCCTTCACACGCCTAGCGGCGGGCATATCGGACGCCGACGCGAAGGTGACGGACATCAGGTCGAATCTGCTGCCGGTGCTGGTGTCGAACGTCACCACGTTCAACGGGCTGTTCTACCGCAACGCGAGCTTCGCCATGCGTGGGCTCCTCGACCAGGTGGGGCGCGCGCGTGCGCCCAGCCACTCCCCGTGCATCTGCACCGCCCGATGCGGGACTCCTTCGCGGAGGCTCGTGCGGCGTTTGGATCTGGGTCGACGCGCATTTTGCGTTCAGCAACGTGCCCGTAATTGCGACCTCAATTGCAGGCTGTCCACATTAACTTGACCGTGGTGGTGCTGCCCGAGGATGCGCTGAGCCAGGCGGCCACGCTAAATTTGACGCTGATAACCTTGGACGCAATCTACAATAGTGAGCAAGACCAAGCCAACTTGTGCTTTCTGCTTGCTTACTTCCTGTCATGCTCCCCCGCCCCTCCTGCGTGCCGGAAAAACCACACAAAGTTGCCTGCAAGCTGCAGCCTTTGCCGTCCATAATGCACACCACACATACCTCACCAACGCTAATACTTACCCCGTCGACCGCCCTGCCTGCCCTGCAGCCACGCCTTCGCCGCTGACCCTGGAGATCAACCTCACGTCGCTCAACAGCCAGCTGGCGCTGCCGCCAGAGGGCACCCAGCTGCTGAACAGCCTGCTCGACGCGGCCAGCGCCCTGGACGGCAGCGTGTCGCTAATGGCGGACCTCGCGGCCAGCCTGCGCAACGTCAGCAGCCTTGTGGCCGCGATGGGGGCCGACGCAGCCGCCATTGGCACCGCGCTCAGCGACTATGTCGACACCGCCGGCCCCTGGGGCGACGTGCAGACCGCGCTATCTGCCGGGGCCCCCAATGTCGCGGCCGCCGCCGAGGCGACGCATATGGCAAACTCCGACGCTGGCGCCAGGTCGGCGCCACTCGCTGACGTGGCAACGCGGATGTCGGGCTTTGAGCCGCAGCGGCAGGCAGTTGCGGGCTCGCTGGGCGGGGTCATTGCCGACGTCAACGCCGCGCCGGACTTGAGCCAATTTGCGTCGAGCCTGGACGGCGTGCAACCGGCGTATGCGGCACTGGGTTCGCCGCCGTCACAGGTGCGCTTGTTGGCCGGGTGCAGACACGGTGCAGGGAACAGATTGGATGGCTTGGCGGGCGGCGGGCCGCGCGCCCCAGGTGCAGAGGTTGCGGCGGCTCTAGAAGCAGGCACGCGGGCCAGAAGCGAAGGCATCCGGCCTGGTGCATGCCTCTTTTGTCGAGCTCGCTGCTTTGCTGGAATCCATTCTCCCATGTGCTTTGTTTCACTTGCAACCCCGCTGAAAACCTGTCATCCACCATGCCCGGTGCTTTGTCGCCCTCCCCAACCAGGCCCTGTCTCCCATTCTGTCTCTGCTGGACAGCATTCACCAGCTCACCAGCCAGACAGCCGATGACATTAGGGGCCAAGTGGACAGTGCGACGCAGCCAATGGACGAGGCATCGCACCGGGTGGGTGTCGTGCAATGTCCGGGCGACGACGTGTGTGCAGGGTATCAAGGCATGCCTCGCTCTGTGTGGCTGCGTGGCTGCGGCCTGGAGCCTCACACAATTGCTTTGTATTCAAGGGCGCTGGCAGATTAACCAAGAATTAAGACGTTATGCTCGTTCTGCAGCGAGCCAGTCTGCGCAGCCTGCGCAACCGCCGCTTGCCCCCCCTGACCCACCAAACGCTTGATGGAAGCTCGCTCCCTTCGTCCCTGCCTGCGCCCTGCTCGCGCCGCACAGGTGCGCGCCATCAGCGACCGCGTGGACGGCTACCAGGCACGCTTCACACCCATAGTGGCGAAGTACCAGAGATATGCCTCAACGGTGAGCAGCCGCACGCACGTGGAATCGACCTGCGCACGGGGCGGCTAAGGGGGTTCCACACACCGCTTGCCCTTGAAGCCAGCTGGGGTTGGGATGATTATTTGCTGTCTTATATTCCTGCCTTCAATCATCACGCCGACCAGCTTCAATAGTTGCCCAACAAACAATCCTTGCAGGGGCTGATGTGTTCCTACGGCCTTATCATGCTGCTGATCCTGTTGCTCCTGATCAGCGCGTGGCGCAACTGCCCCGCCGGCCTCTGCCTCTTCGGCTTCCTGTTGATCGTCCTGCTGACCGTCTTCAGCGTGCTGCCCCTGATCTACACCGTGGCCGTCATCGCCCTGCGCGACGGCTGCGCCAATGTCGAGGTCATCGCCCAGGACATCCTCACGAATGGCGGCTTCGGCTTACATGGACTGGCCGGCGCCTCCAACGGCACCAACCCAGCCGTGCTGGCGCTGGATTACTACTTTGGGGACCCGGCGGTCAACCAGAACCGCAGCGCCGCTGACGTCATCCAGGGGGTGGTTGACGTGGCCGCCCTCAAGGCGCAGGTCAACAGCAGCGTCAACGACGCGCTCGACGGCATCCAGCGGGACTTTGAGTTCCGGCCCAAGGCGCGTGGGAGACGGGCTTTGCGGGATGGTTTCTTGCGGAGGGCCACATGCACAGCAGGCTCTGTTCTGCAAGCCATGCGACGCCCTCGGCTGCGCAGCAGCCCCGTGCAACTGCAGGTGCTTTTTACACAGGGTTGCTTTTCAGTCGTTGCATGGGCTGAAGCACCAACATCCTGATGCAAGTCTGTGTCATACTTGAACCCAAACAGGTGGCCGTCATCATCGCGGGTGTCGGAACCCGGGTCAACGCCCTATTTGCTGGCGTTGACTCCACCGTTGACCTCCTGAACTTCTCAAACGTGAGCCATAGATTATGCTGCTTCTGCTTTTGCAGGTCTTTTCAGCTCGTCCTATCAGGCACCCATTGATACCCCTGCCAGCTTGTTGCCCGTTAAGAGCCCGAAAACGGTTGCCTGCAACCGGTTCTTGGCCGTCAATGGTGAAACATGGTTGCAGACCTTCACACACGCGCACACGCACTGTTCTCAGAATGCAAGATGATGTGAACATGCGGTCTGTGCATTTAACACGGGTGCACGCGTGCGCACACACATACACACCCTCTCTCCCTCTCTCCCTCTCCCTCTCTCTCTCTCTCCCTCTCTCTTTCTCTCCCTCTCTCCCTTGCCCCCTCTCTCCCTTGCCCCCTCTCTCCCTCCTCTCTCCCTCTCCCTCTCCCTCTCCCC